ACTGCACATGAGGTGAGCGCTGATTGGTTCACAAGTGGACTGTGGTCAAGGTTTGCCATGTAGAATTGTACTCATTAATGCTGTCAGTTAACAACAAATATTATTTAAATTTTAAAACAGGCAGGTTGATTCTGATGGGTCAAAGCATTGCCCTGGGAAACAAAATGAATCTAACTGTCAGTGTAATAACAGGTATGCAAGACTGCCAGATCATATCAAACAGATTGTATCTCTGGCTGTTCACAACAACCAAGGTACTGAATGTATCGACCTAGCCATACTTGCGAAACTTGCAATATAGTTTCAAACATTAGATGTGATTTTGCAATTGGGTACAACTGCTGGATTCCACTGAATGTGTGAGGAATTATGCTGACAACCAATTTCAGATTGTCAGTTGAGGTCATAGTGTGGTGCACAAGAAGCTATGTATTTTAATACACAGGGCACTATTCTTTGCAAACAGGAAAAAAAAAATGTGTATATATATCATCAAAGATCCCTGACAGCACCTTCTAAACCTAGGACAACTTCCATCTAGAAGTAGGAAAATATGCAGAGGAGGTGAGACCGGGTAACACAGCAAGGACCTGATGGGAACATCCTTGTCACCAGAAGCCAAGATACATCTTAGTGCTTGTTTGTAAGTTCTGTTGATGAGGCAATGTGCTAACTAGTTTTGAAAATCTGCTCAGGGAACTATCCAACAGGATCCATCATCTACTTTTTCTGGGGGGCGTTGAGGATGTTATGTGTTGACCACTGCTTGATGGACTTGGAATAGGTAGGACAATATGATCCAACTGAATGAAGCATTTCAAGACAACATGGCCAGACTCCTCTTTCTCTACACTGGGAGCTGGTCAGATTTCAACACTCAGGATGGAAATATCAAATGTTAGACAGCTAAGAGTCTGCACATAGATTGTTACATCTGCACACTAAGTTGACCCTCAGGATGAAGGAAATATTGGGTATGTTTTTTCCATGCTCCCCTTTCTTCCCCTCCCCCCAACCCACCCCCAATCTAGAGGTTTGTATATTATGTCCCTTTGGATATGATTCATTCAGATAAAACAGAAGGAAGTTTGGTTGACCACTATGGCGCGGGAATATAGTATGGGCCAGATCTGTGATCTGTACAGCAACATTGAAAGCTCCTTGTAATTGAGGATCAGATTCTTACTGACAGTGGAGAGAGAGTGTCATTTCTCATATGCATACTTGTTCCTTCCAGTTTCTATTACACTCACTCAGTCCCTCCAATTCTCAGCCATCTGACCCGACATTGAAAGGAACAAAGGATCAGTCAACTCAGTTCCCAAACTATCGTGTAAGGGCTTCATGGCCCTGGAGAAGTCTTGCTCTTCTGTCTCAGAGTTGCACATCACTGACTATAAATGGCATAGAGTGAGCACAGTTGAATACTCAAAGTTGACAGAATCTGGAGAGTATATTGGCATGAACACATAGAGAAGGATTAGTCCTTATATAGTAATGTAAGTGAGGGTCTGGTATGTCTATGATTACCATGTATAATAGTATTCTGTATCAATGTATAATAAATATTGTTACTCTGAAGTCTAAGCCTGAAGGCAGTCCTTTACTTTGTCTTCTCCTTGATCAGTCTGTCTCACATCCTCACTCAGCATAGCATCAAACCACTCAATAAAAGACAAAGAACACAACCTCAATGTTAAGTTGATTTAATTTGGCTCCTGAAGTAAATTTGAACTGGTCATAGATGGTCATCAGTCTGCATACTGACAGCATGTCTCTGTAGTAGGTGTGTCCATGTATAGGAAATCTTTTACTGCCTCCGCTGCATTATGCACAAATACAAGAAATAAAGGAAAAGGCAAGGCTGCCTGACTGCTGGTTTGAAAGGATGGCTTTCCAATTGATTGAACCTGTATGAATAATGTTTGTGTAGTGTAGTTGTACCCAACTGCAGAATCTCTACCCAAGTCCTATTTTCGAGAGCACATCCATCATGTAAATATGCGATATTCTGTCAAAGACCTTCTCTGTTCTAAGGCAGATATCCGTTTTCCTCTCTGCACATAAGATATGGTATCGCTGACTAGCACAAAACTATCAGGCATCATCTTGCCTGCTACAATACAGCTTTGATTAAGGTAGATCACCAACTTGGTGAGGATTACCAGTTGAATTTGCGTTTAACATGTTTTCCGTCTATATCTTTATTATATTTATGTGTGCCCCTTAGTTCTTGCCATATATCTTATTCAGCTTTTTTATGCAGGTCTTGTAGAACTGGTTTGTCCCATCACAAAGTTTGCAGCATTTAGTTCACTTGTAGTCCCTTGTCTGATGGCTGTCTTGCTTCCAGTTCCTTCAGATTACTATGCTACTGGTGGCCGCAATATGGCTGATGCACAAACTCTGGTTTACACAGGGTAGACAAGGTATCCCCAGCTTCCCATGATAGGCAGGGTGGGTGGAGGAGTTCTCTCCTGCCATCGAGCTTGTAATTCTGGTCAAAATCTGAAGGGTCATAACCTCATTGCTGTTCCCTACTGCCCTGACATTCTAAGTGGCAAAGTGAGTACGTGCACAACAGGAAAATTATGAGTTTCAAATGGACAGGATTCCATTGCGACTGCACTCCAAACAGTTGCTCTGATGAGGACACTGACTGTGTCACTAGCCTTTGTACGTCCCTGAACACCTTTAGGAATTTCACACCCAAAGCAATATTGTTTAACTTCACATTGAGGTATCCAGTCCTGGGAAGTCCTACAGGCAGCAGACATTCACAAATATGAATCTGCCGGGTTTGCTCAACACAGAATGTGCAGTTGATTTGTGTACATCTATTGTTTCTCACTCCAGCCTCAAGGTATAGTATATCACCAGGTTCAGGACTCAGTTGCTGTTTGCAAACATCAATTGTTAAAGTTTTCCCTGGATAGGGACTAAATCCCCAATGAGAAAGGAAACAAGAACCATGGTCAAGCTTTCACCAAAGGGTGAAAGGTTGAAGACCCTGCTGAAACCTGCCCCAAAAATAAAGCCATTAAAGCACACTCATCCTGGATGATCCACATTCCTCATCATGGTCCACTGTCTTTGTAGAGGGAATCTGCATTTAATGTTTACCTGTTCAGTGTCATTTCTCTTTAACGTTCTTATTAGGACTGAAAATCAGATTGTGTGCCACAAGATTTGTTTTAATGTTGTTTATTCAGTGCCTTACGTGACACATTTGGCACAACCTCTCCCTTTCTCAAATTTGTGGCCTCTCCTGGTAGCACACCATAACCTGAACCCTGTGTTAGGGAGACACCACAAACTAGACCTGAAACATTCCTTGGAGCCCCTCCTTACCTACAGCCACACCATCCCACAGCAAGCCACCACCATCCCCCTCCTTGCATCTCTAATTTCTAAAGACATACAACTAAAATTACCAGTACTACAATGCTGAGGTCTATTGATAGGGCCAGTTAAAGAAATAATCTGGGCCTCCTAACACCTGAAAAATCCAAAACCGATTCATTATCACAGCATCATAGAATGATTACAGAGCAGAAGGAGGCCATTCAATTCATCAGCTCTCCAAATGAGCATTTTGTTTAATGCCATTCCCCAGCCTTCTCGCTGTGACCCTACATATTATTACATTGCATATAACAGTCTAACTCCTTTTTGAAAGCATTAACTAAATTTTCCTCCAGCACGATGTCAGGCATTGCATTCCATGTACTCACAGCTTGAAAACACTTTTTCTCACATTGCTTTTGAATGTTTTGGCAATTACTTTAATTCTGTGCCCTCTTGCTTTTAATCCTTTGACCAATGGAACAATTGTTTGCCATCTACACTGCTCAGGTTCCTCGATTTTAAATACATCTTAAGTCACAATTCCCTTATTGCGAGTACAGGTAGTTCATCTATAATGCGATAGTTGCATTTTTGTGTGACCTCGCGCCATAGCAAATTGCGTTACAGGGAAATTGCTATACCTGTACAGCAGAAAGTTTGCATTACCCAAACAGCGTCCACTAGTCATCAATCCTGTTACAGCCAATTCACGTTAATGAAATATGCGTTATGGCAGAACTATCTGTATTCCCTGGAGTTATGCAGTATCATGTCAGAGGCTAGGAATACTGCGGCGAGTGACTCACCTCCTGTCTCCCCAAAGTCTGTTCATCATCTACAAGGCACTTCACCTGATGAAGCAGCAATGCTTTGAAAGCTTGTGATTTCAAATAAACCTGTTGGACAATAACCTGGTGTCGTGTGACTTCTGACCTTGTCCATCCCAGTCCCA